CTGCTGCCTGTGCTCATTGCCTCCAGCTCTCCAGTGCCCCGAGAACAGCCACTTCGAGGAGTGCATGACCTGCATGGAGACCTGCGAAGCCCTGGTCATCGGCCCCGTCTGCGTGGACACCTGCACGGAGGGCTGCCAGTGCGACGAGGGCTTTGCCTTTCAAGGTGCCCAGTGCGTCCCCAGGAGCGAGTGTGGCTGCAGTTTTGAGGGGCACCAGCTTTTCACCAACCAAACCTTCTGGATGGATATCGACTGCCAGTTCTTCTGCTACTGCAACGGGTCCGACAACAGCGTGCACTGCGAGAACATCTCCTGCAAGGACGACGAATACTGCCTGGAGGAAAACGGGCTCTACTCCTGCCAGCCCCGCACGGACGCCTCCTGCATCGTCTCCGGCTACGGCCACTACTTGACCTTCGACGGGTTCTCGTTCGACTTTCAGAGCAGCTGCCCTCTGGTCCTTTGCACGACCATCTCCAGGCAGCGGGTGGAGAGGTCGGATACTTTCCCACTGTTCACTGTCACGGCCAAGAATGAGGATCGGGACCCGTCCCTGGCCCTGTGGGTGAAACAAGTTGAGGTGAACGTCTTCAATTACAACATAGTCATCCATCGGGCCTACAAGTACACCGTGCTGGTGAGTCGGCTGGGCGGGGAGAGGGGTGGTGGGGCAGGCAGCAGGCGGGACTCAGCTGAGCACAGTACACGCGGCCAGCTAACGGGGGCCAGGGCAGGAGTTGAGGCTAAGCTGTAAAGTTTTGGTAGATCCTCACTGATGGTCTGAAGTCCCCTGCAGCTCTTGCATCCCACACGCATCCTGTCTCCACAATTCCTATCGTTCCTATCTGCGCATGCTCGGCTGCCCGTTTCGGGAAGTTGCCTGTTGCCTTCACTTCCTTAAGGGGCCTTCTGTTTTCACCGGTGCCGCCGCCATCGCTTTCCAGAGACAGTGACGTGTTTGTGCCCGTAGCTGCGGGGAATAACGGTGCAAGGAGGCGCTGCAGCACCTCAGGTTTTGTACCTGGAATCTCCACTTCTAGCCCTGAGCTGGGGTCCTGGCTGTCAACCTGCACCCACTGCCACCCAGCGTCCTAGCCACCGACCCTGCTGCCCTCTGGGGTCCTGCAGGCTGGGCCTGGGGCGCTGCTACTCTGCAGCCACCTCCAGCTGTGGTCCCAGCCTGGGGCAGGGAGGGGCGTGGGCAGTCGGGGGGGACGCAGCTCAGCACCCCCCCTCCCGAAAATGATTCCAGTGCTGCTGTTTGTAGCCGTGCTCTCTGGAAGGGTAAAGCCCCAGCAAGTGACCTTGGAGGGCCCACGCCCGCAAGCTATCCAAGCGTTTCCCACGCACAGGGGGATTCCACTCGGGCGCTGCACGAGGAGGGAGGACTTGTTGGGTAACTGGGGTTTTGTCCACATGTCGAAGTTCAAAGCGCAGCCTGGATGGGCCAGGAGGGTGTCTCTAGCCTTTGTTGGGCAGAAGCTGGGAACAGGCAGGGGAGGGATCCCTGTTGTGTTCCCTCCCTCTGGGGCACCTGGTATTGGCCACTGCCAGCCGACAGGACACTGGGTAGATGGACCATTGGTCTGACCCAGTCTGGCCGTTCTTATGAGCTAATTTTAATACGGCTACGTTGGGTACCAGTGCAGTGAAGCGGCAGCAGCAACTGATTCAGCATGAGTTAGCCACCTGCGTCGTTCCCTGGGGTCTAGGCAGGCTTGTTCTACTGTAGCTTCACTGCTCAGGCACTCGAGGTGGCTAGATCAAAGCTAGCTCAGGTCCGTCTACTCGAGTGGCAGTCGCACCCTGCGACTCCAGTACAGACATCCCTGTTGCGTAGCTGGTTTCTTGGCACCGTTTACCCCAGTCCTGGTACAGAGGTGCTCACAAACAGCATGCAGGGTGGAATAGGGAAGCCCAGTCCGGAAAAAGCGTGGAGGTAAAATATAGCCTCCTCCAGTGCTTCATCCAGGCTACAGTCGTTATAATTATTATCGCTTTCTTCTTCTGAGAGCTGCATCACAGTCCACGCCTGGCCCACAAACGAGGTGCCTCTCCAAAAACAAATGGCATCCCTGCATCCTGCCTTTGAGTCCTCGCGGATCAGTAATCTCTCCTGTGTCCTTGCAGATTAACAACGAGCGTCTGTACCTGCCCTTGAAGCTGGGCCAAGGGAAGGTGAACATCTTCGCCTTCGGCTTCCACATCGTGGTGGAGAGCGACTTCGGGCTGAAGGTGGTCTATGACTGGAAGACCTTCCTCTCCATCACCGTCCCACGGAGCCTCCAGAACAACACCTATGGCCTCTGCGGCCGCTACAACGGCGATCCCAGCGACGAGCTGGAGACGTCCGCCGGGCTGGCGGCCTCCAGCGTCAACGACTTCGGGCAGAGCTGGGTGAAGCGGGACACCTTCTGCCAGGTGGGCTGTGGAGACCGGTGTCCCACCTGCAGTAAGGTGGAAGGGTTCTGGAAACCCCAGCAGCTGTGCAGCCTGATCCCCAGCAAGAGCAGCGTCTTCGGCAAGTGCCACAGTAAAGTCCACCCCGGCTTCTTCTACAAGAACTGCCTCTTCGACACCTGCATCGATGGGGGAGCTGTCCAAACCGCCTGCAGCTGGCTGCAGAATTATGCCAGCACCTGCCAGACCCAGGGAATAGCCGTCACCGGCTGGAGGAACTTCACCTCATGCTGTGAGCACAACCTCCCCCTTCTCCCTTTGCCCCTCTGAATCGGTTGGGGGAGTGTCTGCTTCTGGGCGAGATCCTCAGCTGGTTTCACCCTCCCCGTGGGCTGCCAGCCGGAGCGGGGCCCCGTCTCCTCCTGGGGCCACAAACCTTGGAGGAGCGGGCAGCCAGTGTGAGTTCCCCACCGTCCTGGGGGTGGTGGGCCTCCTGCTTCCAGCTTCTGCCTTGGGGTGGTGGGTGGCAGGCTCTGATTGTGGGGCTCCAGCCACACAGGAACAGGCTCCATCTCCAGACCCCGACCTGAGGGTCCTGGCTCCTGCTATATGGGCTCTGGCCCCAGGATCCCCCATGGCTCCGACCCCTGCTGCATCGATGACCTGGGCTTACCACCCGCCTGCTCCCATTGCCCCTGGCCCTTCCTGCCTCCCTCCCCGCCTCCCCAGCTTGCCACGGCTGAGTAAATCTGGTGTGAAAAGGGATATTGGCGTGTGCGTTAATTCTGCTCTCCAGGGCCTCCCAGCCAGCTAGCAAGTCTGCATCTGTGAAAAGCGATATTAGCCATCACATAGCTATCACTCTTCACAGCAGCAGACGCAAGGAAAAAGCAACCTCCTCCCCCCCCCCAAAAAAGGCAGAAGAAACAACAACAAAAGACAACACATGCAAAGCGCCTGATTTGTGGTAGTGTCTGTTTCAGTCCAGTAACACATAGAGACAAGTGTACATTCTGTGTGAGTTTGCCTAAAACCCCAAACCCACAACCCTACACAAAAAAATCACAATGATTTGGACACAGACATGTGCCTGTTTTCTTTTCCCAACGTTAATTAGGGATTTTGGGAAAAGTGGTCAGAGCAGCCACCAGAAAGAGGTGGTGGCTGTCCTCTGAGGCCACCAAAAATGTGGTTGTGAGACCCTCTAGACACCTCTCTGCAGGGTTGAGTCTTGCGAGACAGTGTTTCCCAGTGGGTAGGGCACAGAACTGGGAACCAGGACACCTGAGTTCCCTTTCCAGCTTCCTCACTGGCCTGTGGTGTAGAACGTCTCCTCTGTAGAACAGGAAATGTTTTGGAACGTTCTGAGATGCGCGGATGGTGTTGTCACGGGGGATGAATAGAAGCGCCTTGCTGTCTGGCTTTTGAGGTGGAGAGGTGGTGAGCATGGAGATGAGGAATCCCGGACACTCGGGGGAGTCTTAAGGAGAACCACCAGGGTTAGGTCCCATAATAATGACAAACCCCAAAATAATGGCTTGAATGGGACTAGTGACAAGAGACAGGGAAGAAAAATAGCTCAACAAACAACTCAGCGTGAAAGAGATGAGTGCCAGCGTCATGGGAGATTATCTCTCATGTCAACATATTCATAAAGGAAATGGAGTTGTGGGAGGATGAATTATGGGGCAGCCACTAAATCGGTTGGTTTCCTAAGCACTTGGCAGGAATTACATTTGCCTTGGGTAGTTCTCCAGGCTTGTTGGGAAATGCTGGGCCTGTCGGTGTAATAGTCAAGGGGCATTGTTTGTATGTTAGTCTACTCAGGTGCTAGGATTAGCGACCTATTGGGGTTGATGCAAGGAGGTTTCTAGCTTGGTCTCCCCAGTCTGGAAGAACAGGGTTTTTATTCTCCTGAGAACCGAGTTAGCAGCCTGGTGCTTCACACGCCGCCACCTTGGATTCAGCCCTGTCTACACTGCAGATGCAACTGTGAGAAGTGACCCCTAATCGGGGTTCAACCCACTTCTGCAGTCCATCACATGGCGAGACCATGGGTTTGGTACCAACGCATCTCCCCACATGGATCCTATTGCAGCACTGGAGGCAGGACTCCAGCCTGTACTGCACACTAGCCCTTTGCTGTGTTTTGAACATAGGCTAAAGTCTGGTGCAAACGAAAACTTAAACCAGACATCTCCTGGGTCTGGAACGTAGGTACGGTCCAGTCAGCGCTACAGTCGAGAGCCATGGTTGTAAACGGGTTAGCAGGCAAGTGAGTTATAACCGGATTCCCCGGTGTGACTGTGTTGGTAGACGGGCTGTTGGTTTGTGTTTCTGTCTGCTCAGGTCTGCTCCCGAGCCGGCTCAAAGCACAACACGTTGGCATGCTCGGGGACCGTCTTTCAGCCATGTTCTGCGTGGTGTGCGCTGGGCCAGCAGCCTCTTGTGTGATAACCACATCACAAAACCTGCAGCTGGGCCTTGTGGCGTGTTTAACAACAGGGATCTGGCACGTGTGGGGTGGGCACTTCCGTGGGAGTTGCTGGGGCTCAGCTCTATTTGGAAGCCAGTCCCTCCAAGCTAGGACTGTCTAGCCAGCTCTGCCGGGTAGCTCAAATGTATTGTGGACAGGGCCAGGGATCCTGTCCATGCGAGTTCAGCTGTCAGGGACCTGTTTGCAATAGGGTCGCACCCCAGCAAAGTCCGAGCGTGGCTCGGGTGGCTAAGGAACCTGGCTGAGTTTTAACGCCGTCCCCGGACCATGCTGCAATCTTAGCTAGCCAAGGGCTTCAGCAACAGCCCAGGGATGTGGTGAAGTTCTCCTCTGCGTGGCCCAATGGAGGGAGCACAGCCTGGGACTCAGCAGGTGGAGGGTTAATTCCTGGCTCTGCCTCAGACTCCCTGGGCAAGTCACTTATTCTCTGTGTGCCTCAGTTTCACCAGTGTAAGAAGGGGATGGTGCTGTCCTCGGGAGTACTGTGAGGATAAATACATTCATGATTGTGAGCTGCTCAGACACCATCACAAAGGAGGGGGTGGTACGCATACAGATAGGTGGTGCTTCTGTTGCACAAGGGACATGAGAGTATTGTAGCTGGCTCCCCCTATACAGATGTACTTGTAATGGTTGGTCCCAATGCTTTTTCTGTTTAAAAAAAAAAAAAAAGGTGCCAGTACTCCAGGGGAAAAGTTGTTGAGCAAAAAAAAAAAAGACAGGGTAGGAACCGGCATTGCCCTTTTAAGACACACGGCCCCTTTAAGACATGTGACCCAGCCGACTGTCGAACATTTGGGTACAGAGGTGCCAGTACTGTGTCTGGAGATGCCAGTACTGAGTACCAGGCAGTACCATCACAAAAAAAGCACTGGCTGGGCCAATTGATGATAGCCTACTACTATTGCCTGCTAATTGAACTACTCCTTTAATGCAAGATCTATGCTGAAGGGCCCCACTTCAAACTCCACAGACAACTCACAAAGAGCATAGCTGAATAGTCAGGAGCCCCACAGTTTAGAGCATCTTGCGCCTTGCAGCACATCCAAGGAGGGAATGGGTTAACTCCAAAGTTCAAAAGACAGCAGCTATTCTTCATTTGTTAAACAAGAATTTGATTAGTTATATGGAGGGGGAAGATTATGTGTTTGTTCTAATGACACTGCCTGCTATTGTCAATAAGATTACAATGCATCGTTCAATTACACTCCCTCATACATGGAGCTGCAAACCTCTCCAGCAGACAGACAATCTGGCAAATCAGACGAAAAGTAATTTTCATCACTAACAAGATTTAAAATTAAATTTCATTCGTTCTTTTTTTTCTAGTCGCAAAGTCATGACTGAAAACATAATGCTGTCGAGCACCGGGGCGTGCTCATGGCGGCTGGAGCTAGGCACGGCATAAGCTGGGGTTGGCTTCCATTTCTGTATCTGTGAGCTGAACAGTGCAGAAGGCAGGCGAGGCAATGCAGAGGTGGGGACACTAGAGGGAGGCCGGCATGGGTGATGGGAGAGAGATAATGTAGTCTAGTGATAAGGTGCTAGGTTGGCTCTCTGTTAGCCTTGGGGTCTAGTCTTGATTCTGGCCATAGACTAATCACCTTACCTCTCTGTCCATCCATTTCCCCTCCTCTTCCTCAGTCTTATATTTTAAGAGTGTAAGGCCTTCGGGGCAGAGACTGGTTCATAGCATGTGCATTATGCCTTGACTAATAGAGCCCCGATCTTGGCTGTGGTTTCTAGGTACTATTTGAATCCAGAGAAGCATAGAGAAGGAGGAGGAAAAGAAAGCGGTACATTAAGTGAATGTGTTTTGCTGGATGCTCGCTTGCGTGGCTGACATACAGCGGGGTAGTAGTTCTGCTAGAGGGCCTCTGTCATAGCCAGACGGAGCCCTACGAGTCTTTCCCAGGCAAAGACCACTGGCCATGCGAGATGGTTTCTGTCCTGTGTACAATGAGGGCTAAGGATGGAAGGCCAACTGTTCCCACCTGAGCTGAGATTGGAGCTTGGCCCTCGAGAGGTGAAAGATTAAACAGAGGGGGACCCCATCTCCCCAACGCCGAACCCACCATGGAAGCCTTACGGGATTTCATGTTGAAACGGAAATGTTTTAAGTGTAGCCGGGGTTGGTCCTAACCAATTGGCGGCCCTGGGCGACTGCCCGGCTCGCCCGTAGGGTTGACAGATGGTTTAAAAAAAAATACTGGACAAAAATGTATCAGACAATGGGTCTGGGAGTAACCAGAGAAACCTGGGGGGAGGAATTGGGAGGTCGCCCCTAAGACTGGCTCTGTCAGCGGCCCCTTGAAAATGGCAGCCGTAGGTGACCGGCCGGCTTGGCCACCCCAAGACTGGCTCTGAGTGTGGCTCACGATAACCCAGGGCTGTGCTGATCACCTTACATTAATGCAGCAGCTTCCATCCCAAATGAAGCTAACCTAATATCAAGATGACTTCACTCACCAGCAAAATGCAGCCTTTTCTGGGGTGGAATATAAATTGTGACTTAGCAGAGCAGAACAGCACTCTCCCTTGGTGTTTAGCAAGTGGAGATGAAAGACTGTATCCACATTTAATGCCTAGGGCTCAAGGCATTGGGGAATCAGTCTCTGATAGTCTAAAAAGTACCAAGATCTGAGCTGTCTGGATTCTCTTCCTTGCCTTGATCAACTTCTTCCTTTGTGCCTCAGTTTCCCTCGGTTGTAACATTGAGATAAACGTGCCTTACCCTGCTGGGGATGTATCTTCATCAGCGTCCGCAAGGTGCTTTGCGATCCTTGGATGTGCCAAACTTTGTCTTGCTTCTCTTTAGCCCTTGGAGTTGGGGGGCTAGGTAGCTGAGGGAGTCCGTGCGAACACCTGCCGTTCCACACTATCGTTCCGAATTCGCACGAGAGTGACGCTTGCGGCCCTGTGCTGCTGTGGGGGAGGGGCGATCCGTCCGTCAAAAGTGTTTTCTCCTGCTGGCTGAGCCCTGTGCCTTGCTTTCCAGCTGTCAGCTGCCCCCCCAACAGTCACTACGAGAGCTGTGTGACTGTGTGCCAGCCCCGCTGCGCCGCCATCCGGCTGAAAAGCGACTGTAACCATTACTGCGTGGAAGGCTGCCAGTGCGATTCTGGGTACGTCCTGAACGGCAAGAGCTGCATCCTCCCCCACAACTGCGGCTGCTACTTAGATGGCAAATATTACGAGGTAGGATCATCCCCTTCTTCCCTCGTCTCCCTCCTTCCCTTGTTTCGTTCCCCCTTTTTTCCTCTTCAGACAGTGCTGAGTTGGTTTCTCTCCCTGATTCCATAGGGCTAAATGTGCTGCACTAGTGTAAAAAGTGATGCCCATCAGCCGGGAACTGCTCCCCCATGCAAATCACTTTTTATACTAGTGCAGCACATCCACACAGGGGGCGGGTCCATACCTGTGCAGCTACCCCCTGTAGAAACAACCCATTGCCAGATTCCCATTGGCACTAAGACCTTGCCACGTACCACGCAAGTGTGGACATCCCGATGCTGGCTTCAGGACGGCCGTTAGCAACCGTAGCTTACGCCAGCCCGGTCTGGGGTAGCTAGATTAAAGCTAGTGCGTGGCTGCAGCCAGGCCTTTGCTGGAGTGCAGGCCTGCTCCAAATCTCTTCGGAAAGTGGCCTCAGGCACTTGGGCTCCCAGACCCTGATCCTGTAGCGGGTACCCAATTCTTAAATGACCACCTGTCTGGATTCTCTTTGGAAAACTTACCCATGGCCAAAGCAAGGCCAGAAAAAGATTCAGAAAAGGGCAACAAAAATAATGAGGGGTTTGGAACGGGTCCCATGTGAAGAGAGATTAAAGAGACTGGGACTTTTCATCTTACAAAAGAGGAGACGAAGGGGGGATACGAGAAAGGTCTATAAAACCATGACTGGTGTGGGAAAAGTGAATAAGGAAAAGTGATTTACTTATTCCCGCAATATAAGAACTAGGGGTCACCAAATGAAATTAATAGGCAGCAGGTTTAAAACAAACACAAGGAAGATTTTCTTCACTCAGCGCACGGTCAACCTGTGGAACTCCTTGCCAGAGGATGCGGTGAAGGCTAGAACTTTAACAGGGTTCAAAAAAGAGCTAGATAGATTCATGGAGGTTTGGTCCATCAATGGCTATTAGCCAGGATGGGTAGGGATGGTGTCTCTAGCCTCTGTTTCTCTGCAAGTGGGTGACAGGGGAGGATCACATGTGGATTCCCTGTTGTGATCCCTCCCTCTGGGGCATCTGGTAGTGGCCGCTGTCGGCAGACAGGACACTGGGCTAGATGGACCTTTGGTCTGACCCAGCCTGGCCGTTTTTATGTTCTTAAGATCCCCCCCTTGGCTCTGTGTTGGCTGCAAACTCCCCTGAGCACTCCTTAGGCCAGCTCGCACTTTTTTTGTCTGACGATGTTGTGTGGTGTTGGAAAGTGCCAGGTGTCAATCAATGGGTATAAACACAGGTTGCACACGCGTGCATAGCCGTGGGCGGAGGCCCTATTAACTCTCCCGAGTTTTGGAAACCAAAGTGAGAAAAGCCAGGAAAGCAAGAACCATGCCCTCCCCTCTCCCCCATGAGACCCTATACACCCCTCTGCCCCGGAGCCTCAGCCCTTAAGGAGAGCCCCCCAGGAGATGCTGTCTCCTCCCAGCTGGCTCAAGGCTTCCTGTGGCACCAAGAGCTGCTGCTCCGGGTTCCTGCAGGAAAGTCTGGCACACACAGCAGGACTCAGTGCCTCCCTCACCGTTCTCCTTACCTCTCCTTCCTCCTGCCCCCCTGTTCCAAGGAGAGCAGCTGCGGGTTACAGCAGCCTGGGGACCTGGGTGCCCACCACGCTCTCCGCCGCATGAGAGGTGGAGCAGCTACCAGATGACTCTGCTACTGCCGTGTGCCTGCAGCTTCAAGGGACCATTGGACCTGGTGCTGCTTTGCACCACTTTGTGGAAGCAAAGGGACCTCAGTATCATTTCCAGTCGCTTCAAGACCCCTTGGTGCCACCCTAGTGTTGTAAACTGAGCCTCCGGGAAAATGCGGATTGGTCCCCCTGTGCACAAAAGGCCCGTTTTCCCCTCCTTTGTTTCTGAAGTAAGCGCCTTCTGTTTTTCCTCTGTCTCTTAGCTAACAGCTTCTGGGAAGATGGCAATATTGTATCTAAATGAAAGTGCCTTTCAGGGGCTCTCCTCATGGAAAAAAACCGCATTTTAGCGCACACCGTGCAAATTCTGCAGTTTTCTTCCCGGAATTGGAAACCAAATGGTTCCTAAATAAGAATAGAAATGGAGAAAGGAAACACTTTCCATCTGCTATTATTTCTTCTGCCCCTTGCTGCCTCTTAATTGGACAGGCCTCCAATAAACTTTGGGTGTAAACATGAGAATTCTGTTCTGCTCTCTGCCACTGGGGCTGTGGGACGGTGAAATCTTCCTGGAGAATAATTTGTGGGCCCATTTAAAATGGTTCCTAAATAAGAATAGAAATGGAGAAAGGAAACACTTTCCATCTGCTATTATTTCTTCTGCCCCTTGCTGCCTCTTAATTGGACAGGCCTCCAATAAACTTTGGGTGTAAACATGAGAATTCTGTTCTGCTCTCTGCCACTGGGGCTGTGGGACGGTGAAATCTTCCTGGAGAATAATTTGTGGGCCCATTTAACAGTTTCTCGCCTGTGTGAGCTACACTGCTGTGAAGCAGGAATACAGAGTATGTTTCCCTGCCGTTATCTAGAGACGGATCCTAGCATAATTAATAACCTTAATGTATTTAGCCATATAGTCCTTCAGGTTATGTAATATTCATCAGCCTAATCCTTGCAACGGAACGACACGTTTTTAATAATGAGACTGAAACTTCGTCTAGCTTGCAGTAAAAATATAACATAATGAAACTTTAATTCGCATAGCAGCATTTGCATGAATCGGTGTAGCTGATTTCTCCCTTTTTTAAACCCAGGCAACTCTACTGAGTTCCTCCTCGTTGTCACTGATGTAAGTGAGAGGCAGGAGTCAGGCTCTCTGAATCTCATGATGGATTTCACAGGGTTAAAACAATAAACAGCAGAGGAAAGAGAAGAATCAAGAGGATGTGGCAGGAGAGGGATGACGTGGAGAAGGCTGTTGTAGATTGTCAGAACTGCCGAGAAGGGTCTCTTGCCAAGAGTCAAGCGTCTGCTGCTGTTAGCTAGCAGCATGGAAAGGTTCATTGACCAAAATCCTTTGCTTTAGATGCAAAAATGTTGTCTTGTTCTGTGTGTGTGCAGCGTCTAGCACCAAAAGGATTGTGGTTCTTGATGGAGCGCCGAGGCTCTACCGTAATAAAGAGGTGGTGATAATGGCATAGCAACAGGTCTGCTGCTGTCATGCTGCTAATCCATACAGCTTTACAGTCGCTTACACCTCACATCTCGTTCTCCTCCTTCTTGGCTTCGGTTAGGCCCAGAAGTTGGTTAGCATTTCTCAAAATGCTCAAACCCAGCTACGGGGCACAGGAAGCCCTCAGATGAGGGCTACACAGTTCCTAGAGGGATTCCTTCCCTGAATATCAGTAACTGCCCCTTTAGGTCCATGGTGCTGCATTTCTGCTGAAAACCATTTTCAACAGTCACTGGGAGAGGCCATCCAGCTGATGCGGCAAATGCCTCACTTTGGGACTAAAACGAGGGATGCTTGAGAAGGAAGGACATTAGCCACAGAGTAATTGAGAATGCCAGGCCAGTTAAGGGATAGTTGTATGTTGTTATTTGTATGTCGCAGTGTTAAGGCGAGTCAGTCCCAGTATATGAGAGAGACAAAGTTGTGTGAGGTAATATCTTTTATTGGGCCAACGTCTGTCGATGAGATAAACAAGCTTTCAGGTAAATACAGAGCTTGACATAGGGTGACCACATGGTGAGCATGTAAAATCAGGACAGGTGGGATGGGGTTATAGGTGCCTAAATAAGAAAAAGCCCCAAATATCAGGAGTGTCCCTAGGAAATAGGGACATGTGGTCAGAGCCAGCCCAAGTTACAGGCTGACCAGGCTACCGCCTGGGGCGCCCCATTGTAGGGGGTGCCACGCAGTGCTGCCGGACTGGGTGGGGGCGGGGCCACACATGCGCCGGGTGCCTGGTGTGGGGCCGTGCTCCCGGGGGTGCACTAATGGCTCGGACCGGTCCTGCACGTGGTCACCCTAGCTTGAAATCTTGTCTCTCACCAAAGGAAGTTGTTCAATAAAAGACATTACCGCACCCACCTCGTTTCTATGTTGTTACTTAGCGACATAGGGAAGAAACAGCCAGTGAGCTTAGGGAAGGGGGACTAGCAGTCATGACTCCTGGGTTCTCTGCTTAATTCACACTAATTAAAGGAAGTTGATGAACAAGGATATCAAATGACTGAGTCCACTGGCTCAGGGGTGTCAGATGAGCATGTGTCTCTGCTGAGCTGCATGTCCAGAACTGGGGTGGGCTTAGCTGCCCAAGGGCAGGCCTAGAAACTGGTAGTGTTGAATAGGGGAATGATTCCCCCCTCCCCCTGAAATTTTTGTACCAGCAAAAGCTTTAGTGTAGACACAGTTTTACTGGTAACGCACATTGGTGCCGGCAGAAGCTCCAATATCTCCAAGAGGGGGATTCACACTGTAACTAAACCAGTCAAGTTGACAACTTCTGCTGTAGACCAGAGGGTAGTTTGAAAACTGGCCTCTTCGATCCTGGCTTTTCAGGAATGTCACCATTCCGTCTCAAGTCTTACCTTTCTCATCGCTTCCCAGCACACCATTTTGCATGCCGTTGTTCAAGCTTATTTGCAAGCAAGGGCGTTAGATTCCATCCTTTGCTTGCATGGGCGATGGAATTTAGCCCAAGGCACTACTCCACACATACAGACCGATTGTGCCCGAAAGTATGTATGCGTGGGTGAAAATGGTGGGCTCATGGGAGGAATCCACCCTTTGAAAATCTGTCTCTGTAAGAGATTGAATGCATTTCTCGACAGAGGGAAAAAACCCACCACGGCACGTCTGTTGTGCTAACATTATCCCAATGCAGGATGCTTTTCCCCAAAGCCTGGCTTGTTTACTCGTCGTCTTCATCCATCCTCCTTTGAGGGCTGTTTTTCTCCTTCAGAATCTGCAGTGCCTAAATTCTTATCAGGAGCAAAGCAAGCCCGTCCGTCCAATTATTCTGTGAATCTGATACAGGGGCTGAAGACAGTCAATTTGTGTTCTGTACAAAAAGTTGGTCAACAGGATATTTATAGCCTGGCAAGCCTGAATGAAAGAGGGGAGGGTTGCTGTGGAAACGGCAACTTCAAATTTCCTTCCTTTTGCAGCTTGCAAAGGTTCCAGTGAAGTTGGATTATTTTTATCTGGTGGTCGCCCTTTTGTCCACTGAATCGCGCTGCTTAGTGGCGGATCCTGCGGATGGACTTTTTCAAAGGCCTGCCTGATTTCAGGGTGATTCATCGCTGGTGTGTGCTTCTGCAAAAGGCTAATTAAGTTTCAGGCTTTAGGGCATCATTGGAAACTGCCCGGGCTCCACAAAGACTCTGTGTACAATACTGTGCTATTGGCATTATAGGATTTTTTTTCACTTTGTGCCGAAGGATCAGGTATTGGCCACATCTCAGGGTGCGATTGGACGGGATAAATCAATGCTCTGATCGGAGATTGCCACATTACGGCTAGCAGCTACGTGTCACCACTGCCCTCTACTGGCTGATGTGTTAACCGTGTGTCATAAATTCTATCCGGAAGTGCAGCTTAGCTGAGCCTGTGTGGTCCAAATTGACAAGCTGCCATTTACATTTCCAGTGGAGATGGCAGCAGAGCGCTTCTTTGACCCTAATGCAATCTCTCTAGGTCTGACAGAGACCAGGACAGTTGACTTATAGTGCGATCTGGGTTCATGCCACTGTCTCTCCAGATGACCATGGTCAAGTCACCCATCTGTCTGGGCCTCAGCTCCCCAAGTGCAAAGTGGAGATAATCCTTCCTCCTTCCCGCCCTTTGTCAATCTGAGCTGTTTAGATTGCCACCTCTTCAGGGGCATTCTCTTTTACGGTGTGTATGTACAGTGCCCAGCACAATCCTGCATTTTGGCAGGGGGTTAGACTAGGTGACCCTGGTGGTCCCTTCTAACCCTATGATTGGCTCCTGATCACAGCTGGAACCTCGAGGCATTACCAGAATACTGCTGCAACAAGGTTGGGCCAGCACATCTGGTGAGAAGCTGTGCTGAGAGCGTCTAGAGTACTACAGTTTTACGTGAGCCCAGAGGCTCAGGAAATAGGCCTTCTCGCAGGTTCATTCCCCACCACAGTAAAATGGCTTTTCCTCTCGCTTTGTTCTTCAGCCCAAGCAGCTGTTCTGGAACAGCGACTGCACCCGGCGCTGCCGCTGCTTCCGCCGCAACCTCATCCAGTGCGACCCCCGGCAGTGCAAGTCGGACGAGGAGTGTGCCCTCCGCAACGGCGTCCGCGGCTGGCTCAGCACCAAGAGCTCCTACTGCCTGGCGGCGGGCGGCGGGGTGTTCCGCACCTTCGACGGTGCCATCCTCCACTTCCCGGCCAACTGCGCCTTCGTCCTCTCCACCATCTGCCAGAAGCTCCCTGACTTCTCCTTCCAGCTCATCATCAACTTCGACAAGTGGTCGTCGCCCAACCTCACCGTCATCTCCCCGGTGTATTTCTACATCAACGAGGAGCAGATCCTCATCAGCGACCGGAACACCATCAAGGTAAAGCGTTAGTCGGGGGTTTCCAGGAATTCCCAAGGGACAAGCCGCTCCTCGGACTGGCTGATTTCTAGGGCTTTGGCAGGGGTGGGGTAGAGTTCACCAGGACAGGGAGGAGGGAAACTATCTGGCCCCCAAGAGACGGGGCTGGGTTGGGATTCTCCAAAGTGGAAAGGCTCCAATCCTGGTTGTCCCTGCTCCCCGCACTAGGAAAATATCCCTGACTACAGCCGGTCCCCGAGATGCGAACAGTCCACTTACAACCGTTCATGTTTACGACCAAAGCTGTCGTAAATGGCGGACCCCGAGTTACGAACCCGATCCGCACTTACGAACAGCGCGGTGGCGTGTAACTCTATGGGGTCCGACTTACGAACAAACCAAGTTACAACCAATTGCTGGGTCCGTAACCGGTTCGTAAGCCGGGGAGAGGCTGTCCACTGGCTCTGTTAGGGTGTTGTGTTCAGCCCATCACCGCAGTATCGGAGCGCCTTCTTTATCAGGGAAGCTGGCAAAAGCAAAGGCTCTAGTGAGTTCATGGAGTCTCTGGCTCGTCTCCCCTTTTAGGTTCTCGGAAGCTCTGCTTGGGGGTGGGGAAAGCAGTGGCTGGCAATGCCATTTGCTTGAGGGCAGACAGAAGATAAAGGCAGGGGGACCGACAGGATTGCTGGGCCCGTGGGCAATGTGGGGGCAGGGGCAGCTTCATGCTTCCAGAAGGGGCGGGGCCTTGTGTGGAAGGGGTGGGGCTTGGCAGCCAGCCCTCAGAGCTGCCCGGAATGTGCCGCCTGGCACTCCAGTGGTGATTGAAAGGGTTCCAGCTGTTGTGGCAGTGCCCACAAGCCCTGGACCCTTCTGAATCGCCAGTGGCCCTCTTTGCCCCACCCTGTCGGCAGGCCTGATCAGAGGGGACGGTGTTTGCAGCACTTCCTCCCCCGTCCCGCCTCCCCTGCAGCCATCACGCGCGACGGGTTTGAGGACGGAGTTCGGCTGCGCCGGCTCCTGATTATTTCCATTGCGGGAGCAACGAGAGGCCAGCGCCCTGGTGATAGGGGCTGAGCACACAGAGGGTCCCTGCTTCCCAGCGCTTCCCCTGTGCTCAGGGCTGGCACAATCCACTGCAAATACCAGGCAGTACGTCCTCCTCTGATGCTCAAAGGCTCCAAAAGGGACAGGGAGGAGGCAGGATCCTGGCCCCGTCTCACCTCCCGTACGGAGCTGGCCAGAGGCAGGGAAGGCAAGGAGGAGCTGGCAGCAACATGCCCTGTGCTGCCCGCTACGGGGACCTGTGCCTACCCGGTACAGTCGCAGAGCGTTGAGAGGTGAGTGGCTTCAGCCTTATCTCCTCCCCTTGAGTAGGTGAATGGCACCCAAGTGACCATCCCCTTTGTCACTGGGCTGTCCACCAAAATCTACAGCCTGGAGGGCTTCCTGGTGATCGACACCAGCCCGGACATCCAGATCCTCTACAACGGCTTCAACGTCATCAAAATCAGCATCAGCGAGCGGCTGCAGAACAAAGTGTGCGGCCTGTGCGGCAACTTCAACGGGGACCTGCGGGGGAAGCCGGTCGTCAGCAGCGTGGTGCTGGCCCAGAGCTGGAAAACCAACGGCATGCAGAAGAGGTGAGCCTGGGGCTTGGGGTGTAGACTCCTCTGGGAGCCAGTGGGTGTTTGGCCATTGACACTCGTGGGGGCCCATGTTGTGTCCCGGGGCCCATCCACAGCTTATGGCAGGGGGATAGGCTCGGAAAGAGAAGCCCTGTCGCATTTATTAGGAAACAATCATCCGGAGGGGTGTGACCCGCACCATGGAGTCTAGCCCCGAACAGAATTCTGTCGGAGGGCTCAACTCGCCCATCGAAATGAGATCACTTGCACTGCAGTTGCCTTGATTTGTAGAGTAACGTCTCTACAGCCCGGCTGGTTTCACTCTCGTTAGTGAGGTTCATTTGTGTGGCAGTCGCACCTCGATGCCAGCCCCGGTTGTGCTAGGGGCTGTACTAACATACGACAAAAAGTCCGTTCCCTCGCCCTGTGGGGTCATGTACACTAAGGCCATATTGTGCCACTCGGGTTCTGCAAAAGGGTCTTCCAGTGGGTGTAAGTTACGTATACACCCACTTTGGGGCTCCTCGACTGCCAAAATGGGGTAAAGGAGCCTTGGTGTAAAAGGGGATAAAGCTCCTTGGACTTGCCCATTTGGAAGGCAGCTTTGCGCCAATATCCTGCTCTCCTGGGGGTGCGCTACCACCCCGTGGCGCAGCAGTTCCCAAACTTTTCAGTATCACGCCCCCTTTTTGATTTTTGACAAACCCTCCCGCCCCCTTCTCTCCCTTTTCCCCCCCAATAGCAGCAAAACTTGTTGAGCCAAAAAAAAAAAACCCCACCTGACTGGGGCCGACAAACAAAAATAGCAGTGAAACTTGGGCCATGGTGTAACGGGTATGTCAATCTTTCTACATGGCCCGGAACGCTCCACCAGCTGGGTATGGCTTATTCATTCCCCTGAATGGAGAAGTTTGTCCCAAACTGCAGAGATCTCCCCAGCTCAAATCCCTGTACAGGCCACCACTTACTTTGCTGCACCCCTGGAGCGGGTCATAGGCTGTGAGGGTTGAACCTGGCTATGTCTTGGACCAGGTGCCGCTACTGCTTGAGCGGAAGGACCCGGCTCTGTTAGCTCTCCATGTCCCCACCGATGGTAGAGGGGGAAAGAGCGCCGTGCCGCGTGGGCACGAGTTACACATGCAAAATTCCTACGGGCGTTTGCAGGAGTTTAAGGAGTGCGGGGATTAGGCCAGGTTTTCAAAGGCTCCCTCTGCACCTGCCAAAGTGGCACACGTGGCCAATGGGGAGCACAGACTCTGCCATTCAGATGGTGACGGCTACAGACGTGATTGTTGGCGCAAGTCAGAGTTAGCTGTGGGAGCAGGAGGTGTCAAGGCAGGACTTTTCTAAATAACCTAAAGGAGTGATAGAGATGCAGCCGTGTTAGTCTGGTGTAGCTGAAACAAAAGACAGGACTATGTAGCACTTTAAAGACTAACAAGATGGTTTATTAGATGATGAGCTTTCGTGGGCCAGACCCACTTCCTCAGATCAATTTGTGGAAGAAAATCGGCACAATTTTATATGGTTGTGTTGATTTTCTTCCACAAATTGATCTGAGGAAGTGGGTCTGGCCCACGAAAGCTCATCACCTAATAAACCATCTTGTTAGTCTTCAGAATGCTACACAGTTCTGTCTAAAGGACTGAGGCGATCAAATGCTGCTCATGCTCAGTAGGATTTGGGTACCTTTGAAACTCCTAATCAAAGAGGGCGGGATGGGGAAAGTGCCTAAAGCAGTGGCACTTGGGTTCGTCAGCACATTTGCGGATCCCATGTGCCTGCGATTGTGGATGTCAGCAAGGAAGGGGCGAATTCGGCGCATGGAAAGAGAGGCCTCGGGCATGAAGAGATGCTTACAAAAGATGAGGGGAAAATCTCCTCTTCAAAAGGGCCAGCCCGAGGATTGCAGCCCAACCTCTGGCTGACATGGGATTCAAGAGGCCCATAATCCTTGCCCTGGCTTTCTGCACGGGGGTGAGTTTCACCCTGGACACGTGAGCATCTCCTAATGAGAGGTGAAAAGAACTAGGAAACACACGGGATTGGACAGTCTGCCTTGGGCCAGGTGGGGTAATAATGCAGAAACAAGGTGACCTGAGTGGTCTGTTCGCCTGTGGGTTCACCTCAGGAGAGGACTTGGGGACTGTCTGTTTCACACAGTTCCAGGCTGATGTCCTTTGTTTAATCCCTCGCTCCCAGCTGCAACGAGCTTCAGTACTCCCAGTATGCCGCCGCCTGCGACAACGTGCAGATCCAGAAGCTGCAGAGCGATGGCTACTGCCTCAAGCTGACGGACATGAAAGGCTTCTTCCAGCCCTGCTACGGGCTGCTGGACCCCCTGCCCTTCTACGAGTCGTGCTTCCTCGACGGCTGCTACAACCAGAAGAAGTTCCAGCTCTGCGGCTCTCTCGCTGCCTACGGGGAGGCCTGCCGCTCCTTCGGGATCCTCAGCACCGAGTGGATCGAGAAGGAGAATTGCTGTAAGAGCTATTCTAGCCCTGTTCCGTTCCCTGGTACCGCCCAGGGGGCTGACAGACTCGCCAGGCCGCTATGCGAGGAGGGAGAAAGGGTGGTTCCATGTCCCGAAAGGGGCGGGGCCTCAGGCAGAATGGGCGGAGCTGGGGCAGCTCTCAGTGCTTCCCAGAGTGCATCACACCGCACAGGGCAATTAGGGCTGCCAGAGGGTTTAACAAAAAATCCCCCCCCCCCAAAAAAAAAAAAACCCTGGGAAAGAATTCTGTTGAGGAAAAAAAAGGGGGAGACCAAAGCTGTTAAGCAAAAGAAAAAGGCTTCCTGCACTCCTCACTCCCCCGCCCACGCCAGACAGGGCAGAGAGAAATAGTCCCCACTGTGCTTCCATCCAAGGGCAGGGCCGGACGCAGGCATGGGCAAGCCGGGCAGCTGCCCAGGGCGCCAACCGATGGGGGGCGCCTGATGGCAGCTGTAAGGGGCATGTGGCGTCCCTTATAGCTGCCATCAGGCACCGCACGCCCGGCTCCCGCAGCACTGGCCCTGTGGCGCCAGCCAGAAGCGCCCTACCCCCCACGGCCCATTGGTTTTTTTTTACCGGACAGGGGACCCGAATACCAAACTGTCCAGGTGAAAACCGGACACCTAGGTGCAATTTAAAGGGTCTGGGGTGCCGGCCCTGCGGCAGTAGCTGCCGTGTTGGCTGTGGCAGCTGAGAGCCCCGGGTCCTTTTGAATTGCCAGACTCTGGGGCAATTGCCCCTTTGGCCTCCCACGTGGGCAAGGCCTGGTACCGCTTATCGTATAGAAGCACCATGCTCTGCAGGAAGCCAGACTGCAGAGTCAGCCGGAGCAGTTAGCAATAGGTTCCCCTAGATGATGTGGAACCTGGCTACCTTAAAGGCAGCCTCCATCCCCATGTGCTCCCAAGATGGCTGAGTCAGCGGAGGCACTGCTGTGGTAGCTTGTCCTAGCCTGAGGAGAGGGGACAAGTATTTTTGGTTACAATTTTTTTCATCTGAACTGTTTCCCGTGGGATATTGGATTTTGAAATGACTGGATTTTTTTCTAGGGTTGCCAGGTGTCCGGTATTGACCCGGACAGTCTGGTATTTTTGCCTCCTGTCCGATTAAAAAAAAAAAACTCAGAAAATACCGGACACCCAAAATGTCCGGTATTTTCTGATTTTTTTTCCCGGCCATGAGGCGAAAATACCGGGCACCTGGTAACCCTACGACACACTCAGAAACTGGGCACAGCCCCCTGCCCCCAGGCCCCTTGCTTACCTGGTTCCGCAGGGAGCTGCGTTCTGGCTTGATCAAGAAAACAAAATGGCCTCCCCTGGGTCTTAGTGCTCAACTTCTCCCCTGTTCCTATCCTTATTCTGACTGCAGATACTCTGAAAGGGGCCATGCTGTTTTAATTTTGTTTCTTTCCTTAATAACTTTGTGTCCTTTTTTATTTTTTGTTCAACAACTTTGGTCTCCCCCCTTTTTTCCCCCCTCAACAGAATGTTTTCCTCAGTGGTTTTTTTTTTATTTTCTGGGAGGGTGGGGGGTTTGGTATTTTGGCATTTTTTCACAGAGAGTCCATGTTTTCTGTGGCGAATGTTGATGTTTCATAGCAAAACAAAAGGCCTGAAAACCAAAATCTTTTCATTCAGATAAACTGCCATGGTGCCTCATGGGAGCAGTAGCTTGCTTTCTCCATGTCCCCTTTCTCCTCTATGGACGGGGCTCCCCAGCTAAACTACAACTCCCATGATACAGCATGACCAAGGACTCCTGTGATGCATCCTCTCACCAACGAAAAGGGGAGAGCATGGTGCATCATGGGAAACATAGTCTGACCAGGGATCCTGGTCTATAGAGGAGAAAAGGAGCTTTGAGGTACCTAACCTACAACTTCCATGAGGCATGAAAATAACACTTTGGAATACAAATATTTTGGTTTTCAAGTTTTTGTTGAAAAGTGGAAATTTTCAGTGGTGGGGGTAGGGAGTTCAGTCTCCAACCAGGTCTAGAAACAAGACACTGACCCTGTCTGGAAGCAACTTGGTCTCCCATGTAGTCTATACTAGCTGGATCACACTCACTTCCAAGGCACACTGGCTCTGGCAAGCATTTGCCTCAACTAGGGCTAAGAACATGGGAGATGTTCTCCCATTGGTGACTTATAGCTGATGCTTTGTTTGTAAAGCCAGAAGCCTACGCTGAATAAATTGTTTGTTCATATCGGTCCATACATTGGGGACTTTCCCTTCTCTAGACTCAGTGGGAGTCCAGTCCTCACCTGAGTAATGACTTTGAGGGCAGCATTATTAACCTCAGAAATTCACAGATCCAGCCCCAAGAAATCATGAGAAATGCTTAAAAATATCATGTGATTTTTAAAATATATATATATATATATATATATATATATATATATACACACACACACATGAATTTAAAAATAATATGGAAGATGATTTTTCTTAGCCTTCTAGTTCCCGAGTCTTTAGGTCAGATTCATTTTATGCTTTCAAGCTTTTCTCTGCAACCAGGAGGTCTAGAAACTTACATTTTTTTAAATGGAAAGCTGAGTGTGTCATGTGTTTATATGACTCCAAGAACTGGTGCTTTAAACCCATCAACGAGCATAAATTGCACAAGTTAGCAACACTTCAGGGGCTGAGTGGTGTAATAACAAACTATCTGGATATTGGTGTGAAAATAAAGTTGGTGTCTTTGTCTGTCTTTTCCTTTTTAGCAGGAGTGGTTGAAGATCCCTGTGTGGGGGCCGACTGTCCCAACAGAAGCTGTGAACTTGACAATGGAGGAGAATTGTGTGGTTGTATCGAACCTCCACCCTATGGAAACAGTGAGTGACCTCACATGCGTCTGTTCCGCATCTCAGGAGGTTAATTGCATTGTTGGCTCTGGTCTTTTTAACTAAGTTACAAAGGGGTCTTATATATCTATATGGGACTTAAATAAGCCAATTCCTTCAGCAACCACTTCCCACTCAGATTCACACAAAGTTCCAACCTCAAATCCAGTGGCACTACAATATGCCAGGGAGGAAAGGTGTTTATGTGGTTAAAATACCAAGACTTGGTTCTACTCATGGCCCTGCCACTGATTTGCATTTTGACCCTGGGCAAGTCACTTGCCTGTGCCTTAGTTTCCCAATCTGTAAAACAGGACTAATGATACCTGCTTCACATTGGCATTGTGAGGCTAACGTCACTACTGTTTGGAAAGTGTTGTGAGATCTTCAGATAGAATGTGCTGTGGGAGAGCACGGGGTGGTAGGATTAATTTGTAACTCCCAACATATCCAATCTCATCTAAAATCAGGTTCCACTGGAAAAAATTGAGAGAGATCTTTGGTGGTTTTTTTATTGATTTTCATAAAGAAACAAGCAATAAAAAGTAAAAAAGGTAAATCGCTTTACAATTTATATGTATTCCTAAAACAGTGCATGCTTCTTGCGATTTCTAATAGAATTATGGAATGATGCAATGTTACAACTCATCAAAGTTGCAAGATCGGAAAATACAAAACCATGCAACATGTTAGTGTGGGGAGTAACATAATAGAATGCTAATCAAAACCAGAAGTTCGACTCCCGCCTTGAACAGACTTTTATACAATCAAGGAAATTCAGGGGCAAATTCTCAACAGACGTAAACTGACGTAATTCTTCTGATTTTGATGAAGCTATGCAGCTCTACCCCACATGAAGATTCAGTCCTAGACACTGAAAAGTCGTCCAGGGCAGGAGTGTGTCCTATGACGTGTTTTCTGCTACTTCAGCCAGGCTTGTGTTCAATTGACTGGGAGCTCCGAGTATATCCATAAAAGCATGCATACATTTTTAAAAATCAAAAATCAGTTTTGCCCAGTCCTCTCCTCCTCAGTCAATAGATAGAAATTGCTTGTCATCTAAAGTTCACTGGTAATAAAAATCTGCCCAGTTCTTCACCTTGCAGTTATGGGGAATGAGGAGCAGCTGGCCCATGAACAGGGTCCAGAGGCATTGGATTTTGCAAGCTACTTTTGAAGCATCTTCTGTACCAAAAAATCAAAAATCAGTTTTGCCCAGTCCTCTCCTCCTCAGTCAATAGATAGAAATTGCTTGTCATCTAAAGTTCACTGGTAATAAAAATCTGCCCAGTTCTTCACCTTGCAGTTATGGGGAATGAGGAGCAGCTGGCCCATGAACAGGGTCCAGAGGCATTGGATTTTGCAAGCTACTTTTGAAGCATCTTCTGTACCA